AATATTTTATATATTTTTGAAATGATAAAAGGAAAAAAAACCAATGTAATACTACAACCTAACACAAAACTCTTGAATGAATCTTTAATTAAATTATAAAAATAAACTAAATTTGATAAACTTCTTTACTAAATTAAGAATAACTAAATCTAAATGTTAAGAATTTTCTACTAAACTAATACATGAATGAAAAAACATTATTACTTTCATTTTTTAAGGAAATTTTTTTATATGCATTTTTTCATTCTATGCTAATGTAAAAAGAAAGTTTGGCATCAAAATTTAACTACTTCTAGGAAGTTATCAATACTAACTTATTTTTATAATTTGATCAAAATATAACCACTAACACTAATCAAATAAGTAGTAAATTCTTCAAATTCTCTATCCTTGGTTTTTCGATTGCTCAGGCTTATTTGTTGCTTTGCAAATTTCATTCCCCATCTTCCCAAAGCCAAAATCAATTGAATTTAGCCTTCGGAAGTAAATTCAAAGTTATCCAGCTACAAAAATTCCCACTTCCTCCTTGATCTGCCAGTGCCACTTCCTAAATCTCAGATAATCCTCTTCGAATTTACTTACTTCCTGAAAATTTACGGCAGCCAATAACTAATCTTCTTTTGCAAATAATCCTTCATCCAACCATTAATATGCATTTTGTTTTCTAAAGAACAAACAAATGGTCCAATATGAAAATTTCGGTTTAGTATTAATAATAATTAGCAGAGTCTAATCAAGTAAATGCAAAATTAAAGAACCAATACATAAATAATGAAAAAAAAAAAAAAGAAGATAAAATCAACTTGTCATTCTCCGTTTAGACTTGGTTTATGGTCAATATATGTACAGCATAAAGCTGATGGGAATTAAAAAGGAAAAAGTAAAAGTTGAGCTCCTCGTGTTCAACAAAGCTATACGTTCTAGTACTGCCTTGGCATTGAATCCCAATTCTGATGCACTCATTTCTGTGCAGTCTAGTCTCATCAGAATTTGGAGCTGTTGGTCCACAATCACATGCTGGAACAGAGAACAATCAATTCATGACTTTGCATAATTGCACTGCAGCAAGCTTTTTTGGGAGGGTGACTCTTCAGAGTTGTCGGCCTGCACTAATAGTTCTAGTGGGAACACTAGGATCGACAGACAAATGAGGTGTAATTTTTTTTTGAAGGGGGCAATCACTACATATTAGTAGTGCCCGAATAATAGGGAAAGGGATGTCACCGAGTTGGAACATGTAACCTGTAAGAGATTATCCCACTAAACAGTAACTAGTGACCGTAGCAAGTAGGGGTGGGCAAAAACCGGTTTCGGTTAAAACCGAAACCGATTTTGAATTAACCGAAAAAAATTCGGTTTTAATTTTACAAACCGAAACCGAACCGAAATTGTTATAAGTTAATCGGTTCGGTTACTGAATTTTATCAATGAATTCGGTTCGGTTTCGGTTTTTATTAAATAAATATTAATTAATTATTTTTT